ATTTAATTCTGGCATTTATACTCTCGAGGTGAGGATGATCACCATGACTAGTTAATAATTGTTATATTCTATGTATGTGAATTTATTAGTTATCTCTGAAGAAGGCTCAAAAATGAGCCGAAACATGTAAGCGCTTTAATAAAATAAAGAAGTTTCACGCTACGATAGTCGTGTTATTTGCGCAACATCTCCCACGCTTGACTCCTACTGCCCTTGTTCTTTCATTGTTTTTTGAGAACTTATAAGGAGTCTTAGTTAGGTTGATTTATTATACGTTATTCCTTTATAATCATGTAGTTCCGTAAAAATCAGCCGAATCGTTATTTTATTACAGATTTGGAAAGTAGAGATTTCAAGCTACAAAATGCTTTTTTTAAAATCTCATTTTGACCATTTTTGTAGAAGTTACACTTCTTTGAAGTTTACCCATTTTTCGAAGGTGTGAGAGGTGATGCTTTAATTTATGCGCGTAGTGTATATATATATATTTTGTCTGTCCGTCTGTTCTCGGTGTCTCGCGATGTCGTGGTTTATATAGTCATTTTTTAGGAGGTTCCGTGGTAGGATGTGTCTAATTGGGAAATTGGGGAATCAGGTTCGCATGATTTTAATATCATAACAATTTTGACTGATCATTGGGAAATTGCCCTCAAGTTAGCTCCGCCCGTTATCGGTTTTGATTCGCTCTTATAATGTATCACCTTCCTAAAGGTTTCTCCATTGGAGAGTTTCGTTTCTTGGGCGAGATGGGTGGTAAGTCACCTACTTCCCTTTTATATAAGCATTTGCTTAAGGGAAAAAGATAGCCCACCTTTATTAACATTCTATGAGTTATTATTTTTTTGATTTCCTCATTATAAAAAAGTGTCATTGTTAGATTTATGACTTCTTCTTGAGCCTATGCGTAAGACTATTATCGTTAGACGTGCGTGATATCGGCGTTGAATGACTCAACATCCTACCTTCTCTTCGAGTGTCGCGTTCATGATAAGACTCTTATTATTTGGTAATTTCTTTCTCCATGACGCTCGAGAGGAGATTAAGCGCTTGGTTATCGCGGGTTACTAAATTCTAAATAAACATAGTTTCCTGTTGGGAAAGTTACTTCAATCGATAACACAAATAACTTTGTTCATATCTTACTTTATTGATCGAACGGTTGCGAAACGAAGAAATCATGGAGTCTACTGGACGTAATAATATCTTTACCAGATTTAATGTATTAATTTATTTATTCATAAATTCTTTGAATGAAACATTTGTATTTTTTGATATCAATTTCCATCTACTCTCAATGCTCTTATGAACTAAATCAGTAGGAATGTTAGTGTACATTGATCCTCTAAGTTACCATGATGATTTATATGTCTTATACTATTGAGAATTTGAATGGAGTTGTTTCTTATGCAGTTAGCTGTGATATTATCTAGTTTATTAATGTTATTTTCTATGCATTTCACGAATTCTATGATTGTTTTCTCTTTATTAATTGTATTATTAGGAAAATTAAATCTCTGACCAAGTCGTAAAATGACTTGAACGTTATTCGGTATTTCTATATTACTAAGATTTATAATCCATTGATTGTTAATATTATCTAGATTGAATTGATGATTGAAATTATGTGGATTGATGTTAGTATTAAGATTTCATTGTTGGATGTCTTAATTTCCTGCCTGGAAAGAATTTTCGAATGCCATCTCTCTAATTATGAACTCAACATATTTCAAATTTGACAATAAATACTTCAAACAGATTTTTGGCATGCCCATGGGATCTCCACTATCACCGATCCTGGCTGATATAGTCATTCAAGATTTAGAGAGGAATATTCTTGCTAATCAACGTAAATATTAAATACAATATATTTTAGATACGTGGATGATATTTTGCTCGCTATACCGGAAAATCAGATATTTCCAATACTTGAGTCATTCAATTCTTATCGTGAAAGATTAAAATTTACAGTTGAACATAGAGAGGATGATTCGATTAACTTTTTAGATAATCGAGATTCAAATTAAAAATAGAGGAAGGTTGCATCATATTCGATATGTATAAGAAACCAACAAATTCCGGTAGATATTTAAGTTATAAGTCGAATCATCCTCTAGAACACAAGAGAGGAGTAATAATCGGACAGCTAGATAGAATACTGTTTTTCTATCACATCCAAAATTTCATTACAAAAATATTGGAGGTATGATTAACATACTATTAAACAACAGGTATCCTTTAGAGATATTTTCCACCATTAATAGCAGAATAAAAACTTTATCTAATAGAAATGATTTATACGAAAATATTAACTATTTTAACAGCATTCGAATAATAATATTTCAAAAAAATTCTTTACAATTCCCTATATTAATAAAATTTCTGAAAAGTTCAAGACAGTTGGAATTAAACACGATCCGAATTTGCATTCCGTGATATCAATTCATTAATATAACCATGACTTAAATTGGAATAACATTAAGATATTGGACTCTGAACCATATTTTAAAAAAAGATCCATTTCTGAAATGATTTTTATCAAAAAACAATCCCATCCTTTTAATAAACAAAACGACACTTTACCACATTCAAATTACCAGATTCGTATCTTCCTCTCCTTAATATCACTTGCCCTACTACATGTCAGATCTCCCCTTCTCTTGACGACGAAGTAACTAATGTATAAAAACACACCCCCCTGTTGGAATAGGTACCACAGAGGTTGGTGAGCTAAGCGAGTAAGATATCCACATAAGCTGTAGCATTTCATTATGCATATAGGTTTTGTTCTGATGCAGGTATGAATTACTAATTTCAATTAATTATACAAAAAATTTTTTAATTTTAATAATAAAAAAATTATTTTCTATTATAGAGCTTGGAAACTCTCTCGTCTAACAATTTTTCCATTGACTTAGGAAAAAAATGACACTCAATTAGTAAGATAATCGTTATTCTCTAAATTTTCACATTAAGGTAAAGAAAATCTATTAGATTCAAACATCCATAATTTCATTTCTGAATTGTACGCATACAAACGGGAAAAAAAATTTTAATATGATTTTACTTTTGTAATTAAACGAAACGTATATGTAATATCAGGACACGTGAAGAACAAGGAAGTACTATCAAGATTCTTTTACATATCTAATTTAGCACACATATTAACGAATAAGCTTCAATTTTTAGTTATGTGACACATTGCGTTTTAATTTCATTAACCAACTAAACTCTGTATCTATACTG